GAGGTCCCCCAGTCTGGGTCCCCAGTGCCCTCTCCTGAGCCTCTCTGGTGTCCCAGTGCTCCCCGCTAGTGCTCATCTCATTGCCCCCAGTCTGGGGCCCCAGTGCTCTCTCCCAAGCACCCCAGTCTGGAGTCCCAGTGCCCTCTGAGTTCTCCCCCAGGCTAGGGTCCCAGTGCTGTGTGTCCCCTCCTGACCCCTCCAATCGGGGGCTGGGGCTCCAGGGCTCCTGCTGTACCTGCGGGATGGGAACCCAGTTAGGGACCTCAGTGCCCCCAGTAAGGGACTCCAGTCTGAAGCCCTACAGCCCTACCATCCCTGGGGCAGGACTCCTGTGCCTCCCTGGTGCCTTCCCTAAACGGGATTCCAGTGCCCTCATGTCCCCTCATCCTCCAGTGCTGGGACCCCACTGCTCCCCAGGCATCCCCCAGTGCTGGGCTACAGCACCCCAGTACAGCACCCCAATTCTCTCCCAGATCCCACGTGATGTCCCAAGGACAGGACTCTGGTGTTCCCCATCAGGTGCCCAGCTGTGCACCACCCGCCCACCCCCACCCCCCCCATGCTGTTCAGAGGGCACAGATTGGGTCCCAGTCTGCTCCCAGTTTGGGTTATGAGTTTGTTACTGGGCAACCTGGGAGAATTAGGGGGGGCAGGCTGGGCATGGACTGGGGGAGGTGGCAGCCCTTTGCGGGGGGGAGAGATGCCCCAGCCTGCCTTGGGGCAGGCAGAGGCCCAGGGCAGGTGGTGTCTGCCCTGGTCCGGGAACAGGGAAGGCTTTTCCTCTTTCACTTTCCGCCCACAGAAAGCCCGGAGCGGGAGTTGGCTGTGTGCCTGGGGGGCCCGATAGGCCCTGGGGGTGCCTTGAGCCCTTTCCCCTCACTGGCGTCCTCCCGAGTTATGGACTGTGGACACAGCTATCCCCTGCCATCACTCACCCCCTTCCCGCTCCTCTGCTTGGGGTCCTCGCGCAGGCTCTGACCCCCCCCCCCCCCCCCCCACCCCCACACACGCC